TATTTTTTTCTTTTATGTTAATTTTTTACTAAATGCAACATGAAAAAGCTTTTTGTCCCTTAGGATTTGTTGATGCTGCTGTATCTCAAGGGTTGAGATCATGAACCTGGCAAAACCTTTTATTATGAACATAAGAGATTAAAACAGTGAGTTTTTGCTTCATATTTTTAATATTGTTTAAGTTATTTATTTTGTTTGAAATTCTTAGATTTTGGCTTCATAAATCTTATTGTATTGCCACTTAGTGATTTTTTATCGGTAATAAATGAATCTTGAGATATGTTTTCCATTTAATATATTTATGTTGTATTTATCTTGCTTGGGTTATGATTTTAATTTGATAGTTTTTCTTTTTTGTTTTCATTTGTTAAAGGAATTTCTATTCTTTCGTATCAATCATCATATCATCATATGCCTACATTTCTCCATGAAAATGACCTTAAAATCATCCTTTAAACGAGTTCTAATCTTAGCAAAACTCAATAATTTTTGTTCGACAAAGATATTTTGAAACTAGGTTTAGTAATTCATCCTCAAGGTTTGATTTATTGTCCAATATAGAAGATGCTCCCAACCATTTTTCTCATAGCTTTAGCATGTCTTTTTATCAGTATATGTCGACTATGGTTAGTGGTGGGATGAAAAAGATTAAGGTTATGAGTGATGTTGCAAAAGTTTTAAGGATAACGTTGTTGAAACAGTGGTTTCACAGGCTCTTAATATGAATGAGGTTGCCATTACTACTGTTAATTATTGGTTACCTATTGCTACCTTATAGTATGTTATTGATGTAGTTTATTCTTTTATTGGCTTCAATTGGTAAATTGTTACTTTTACTTATTTAATATTCTTGTAATTACGCAAATGTTTCAAGAATGCACTGCATGTTGATGGTAATCATTTTTGCAAAAATATTGCATAAAAAAGCCTTTTTGTTGAATTATTACTTCTCTATAAATGATTCAATCAAATTGGCTTCAAAACATTCTATTGGAGTAATATTTAAATGATGAAAGAGGGACAACATAAACTATGAGGACTGTAAATATAAATATTTCTGTCTAATTTAAAGGACATTGTTTTAAATTTAATATTTGGAAATCAAGGCTCTAAATGAGATGGTTGGATATTAATTTCTTTAAGTTTACAAATTATTAGAAGTAAAATTCACTTAATACATTAGGTGGTTTCTGAAGGTTACTTTTTCATTCAACCATATGGTATTTCATTCTTTGTATCTGTTTTGCTTTGTAGGTTTCTAGGCTAGCATTTAGTTGTGCTCTTTGAAAAATGATTTAAGTTTAAGTTAAATTGAGATATAATAATTTTAGGCAAAATAGATTTGTAAGATTACTAAGAGCCCAATTCACTGGTTTAAAGTTTATGAAGTTTCTAATTTTGTCTATCCTAGAGTCTTTTTGCAAAAATTGGTATTTTAAACTAATATATCTTTTTTTTTTCTTGAGTTATTCGGTATATTTTTCTATATTGAGTATTGAGTATTGAGTTGCAAATAAGGTTATTTATTATTTTGTGATCCAATGATGATGACAAACAAATATGTTTTCAATGAATAAATTTAATATATCATCATTATTGACTTTAACTAATGTAAATATTCAAAATATAAATAACTAGATGACTTTTTTTCTCTTAAACATTGTTCAATATTTATATTATTAATACATAATTTTATTTTCTTCTACAATTAAATTATAAGTATATAACTTTATTTTACTTTCATGACAAAATGCGAACTTAAAACTTAATAATAATGAAATCTTTCTATAATATCAATAAAAGTTCAATTATTAATAAATCTATCTTAAAATAAAAGTATCAAAAGGCTAATTTAAACATTTTTCATGTACCAAATAAAGAGAATGTAGAGATAGAATAGAGCAAAATAACACTTCAAAGTTATGTAACTTGTATTTGTTCATATCAAAACATTTAATTAGTACTTAAGTGCAATAATCACGTATAATTTATCTGCTATTACAAGTAAAAAAAATAATAAATGGATATCAAATTAGACAAAACGATATGAAATTACCTTTACATTATTATATTTTTTTTTTACAAAAAAAACCACAACTGAAAAATAAAGTCTGAAACCAAAACATTTAAATTCAAGAAATCATAAACTCATTATGATTTATTTGAAATAAATCTCTACTTAAAAATAAATTTGATAAAACATGTTAAACCAAATGACTCCTATAACAAAATGTGAATTTGAAAATAACTTTAAAAAAAAATATCGTACTCGAATCCATGAGGATTTACTTAGAAACCAATTTATGTTAATTCAAAATTTTTATTTGAATTTTTAAAAAAATTTGAAACAATTCTAGAAAACTGTATAGAGCGCATTGCCGATTTGTCAACAACATATGATTTACCTTAATTTTTTAAAAAAGTATTTTTGCAGATGTTTTCATTGTTATTTGTCAGTATATGGAATGCCAATATAAATACACCTACTATAAATGTATTTTTATTTTGACAAAATAAAAAATAATTACATTTTCACTACTTAAATTATAAATTAAGATTTTATAGAAACAAAAAATCAAATTAAAAACTCGACTCAGTAACCTCGTCATAATAAAACTGATTTTGGGATAAACGAATTTTCTAAAGCAGCGACGCGTGTTTGAAAATCTGCCATCGACAATTTCGTCAAATTCAAAGCAAATCCGGCCTTGGCTTCCCATAATTCCCAGTTTGCTTCCCACCACTCAAGGACCTTGGAATCTGAAATCAAAAAATGGCTTTCCATCTACTGCTGTACAGAGTGCGGAACCAACCTAAACTTAAGCACAACCCATCTCTTCCCTCCAGACTTCTACTTCGAAGCGGGAAACAAGGGCACCCTCTCCTTCGCCTTGATCGACGCCTCCAAGTTCAAGTTGAGAGAAAGAGGACAAGATCAGGCCTTTTTTTGAGACCGTTAATTACTGGGGGATTCGTACGAAACAGGACCAAGATCAAGTGCAATAACTGTGGCAAAACTCGTTGGTTATGTTATGATGACGGTCCTCCTCTCACCAACAGTCCCGGTCAATACATTTTGGGCCTAGTCAGGTGATCCCTAGAGCTCCTAGATATCGGTTCAAGACCAAGGCGCTTAAGATCATGTCTGAAACTTGAAGAACTTTTCTGATTATGGTTTCTGGTTTTTGTAGATATTTTGGTTGGGGGTTTCTTTGTTTGGTCTATGTATACGGATGATCTTGTTTATGGTGAATTTCGATCACTCTATTCTTCAATCCAATAGAGATTTTATGCCAATTAAAAGAGAATCCATCTCATCATTCCCTTCAGTTTATTAAATTGATTCATTCTTTATTTGTTTCTTGAACTTTAGATTTGATTGGTGATATTTTAGGCTGCGGTTTGCAGAGTCAGATACGAAACTAATAGGGGGTTAGAAATTGAACAGAACAAAGGTCGCATGTTCCAGTCGGAGAACCAGGAATGCGTCTAATATCTAACAGTTTCAGGAGATGTTGATGTGTTTGCAGGTATCAACCTGAGCAAAAACCATATATGGAAGCCTTGAATTATCCACCATGATGATAATTTCAGAAAGTGATCTCAATCGTATTCAACCACCTATTGCGATGCTTACTCTGTCGCAGAGGTGGGTTGCTAAGTGATAACTTCAATAAACAGAACCAATCAGACTCAGCTGTTTGCAAGGGTAGTAAATTCCCAGATCAAGAAATTGTTTATTTTGGTCTTAGCTGATAAAAAGTTTCGGGTGAACCTTGTATCATCGGAGTAAATACTGGTGCTAATGACTTGAAATTCGTTTCTGCAATTTACCTTGTTGCATCAGTCTATTCCATGGTTTGAGTTGCAGTGAAAGTCCACTGCTAAATAAAATTTTGAGGGAACATCAAGGATGGTTCTCATTAATTGATTCTCATTGATCTATTAAATATGAAAGGGTTTATCCAAACCATGGGAACAACCATTGGATTATTCTGGAGTCTGGACTGTTTGGGCGATTTAATTGGACCTGATTTTGAGTTGGGGTTAGTGGTAGTATGTGTTTGACCGAAGAAAAATATTGATTAAACCATTTCCCAGAACTTTTCTTCGGCCTAATTTTTTATATGGCAGTTTCTTTCATTCCAGTATATGGATTATCCATATCTTACTTGTCTTCACTTGTCATTCTTACTACTTGAAATTGCATCTACCGGTCAAAAATTTTGCATGCTGGTTAGTGTTGAGAAACCAGCCAAGCAATTTCCAAATTGAAAACCTTAGAGCACCAAGAAAACCAATCTATCACTCACAGTTGAAAGTTAGGTTGGATTAGTAGCTGTGGGGGGTTGGTTATGGAAGTGGCTTGTTACTTATTCAATAATTTGTACCCTGCTATTTTGTTATTTCACCTGATCATCTCAAACTTGGACTTGAGGCAAAAGCTAAGTAGCATATTCAACCAAAGAGTTCTATGATTATGAATCCAACAAAGTTGGAAACTGACAGTATCATTGGTAAGCCTAACAGGCAATCCCCCCACCGCCACTTCCAAGATTCTGGGCAAGGAAAGACTACTGCCGACAGTATAACAAACCGAGAGATTGCCAAGTTCTGGAGGCAAGAAGCGCATTGAAGAAGAGGATCACCTACTGGCTGCCATCAAGGCTGCAGCACGCATCAGGGGCCCGCAATCTGTCGGTAAGATTATATGATACTCATTCAGCTTTTATGACAGGGTTCTCTCTGAAACCTGCTATCAGTTTCACTAATTTTTGTTGATGAGCCGATTGCTTAACAGTCAAAGTGATCCATGTTGAGTATTGATTAGAAGAAATCTTTATATGGTCACCTAATTGATAAGCCGGGGAAATAAAATGCTTGTCCTGTTTCATTCCTATTCTCTTCTTTTTCTGGTAATGTTGGTACCAAAGATAGGATTAAAATTTCCCTGGGATTCTATTTTTCGACAAAGTTGCCTGAGAATATTATCACTTGCATTTCAAGCTCACCATTTGACTAATGCGAAGAGAATTGCAATAGATAAGAAGCTCATTTCTAGGCATTAGAAGGTGGAGAGTTAGTTTTAATAAAGTCTGTAGCATGCCAAAACATTTGAGTCACTTTGTTCACTTGGTTAACTTGTTCAAGATCGATGTTGTGTAGGAGGAAGACTGTTAAGTGTTTTGAAGAGTCACTGAGCAATGAAGATAACAACGCTAAGGAGAAGATCACAGCCCCAACCAACAACGGAAAAGGAGATAAAAAAAATAATGAAATTCGTGTGGGAATAAAGGACTGGTTAGTAAAATTTCTCTTCAAGACTTTGGCTATTCTAATCATGATGAGAATAAACATACATAGGAAATCATATTGAAGTAGATTTCCCTGAATCGATTTAACTGCATTATTAGCTCCAAATGTCTGTGTCATACAGTTTTCTGACATCAAAAAATGAAAATAACTGCATTTTGCCCATGAAATCCATCAGATAACTGATTCTATATCACGACACGGACATATAATTTGCTAATTCTTTGCTCATCTTCTGGAGTTGTAGCTATTAGTTTAGGACAACTGATAAAATGCCTTTATTTCTTGAAAATTTATACTAAAACATTTTTAATTGAACTCTGGTATCTGCTTTCAACTAACATGAGCAGGTGGACAAAGAGCAAGTATGCGTACTTAAACCAACCAGCTGTTGAATCCATGGGCGATCCAAGCGAGGAGCATCCACTTATTTTCCAATTTTTTTTAATTATAAACCTGCTCCTTTATATCCTACATCACTTGGTGTCTTTTAGACCATTGGGATAGGGGAGCTTTTTCAACTTTCGATTGATTGCATTACCTACCATGCATTGATTTGTATGTGTCATTGAGAGTTCTTTTCATTTATTTAAGTGTGCTTGCAAATAAGTATGGTTAGTATTACTTCATTCTGTTATGAGAAAACCCTGTTGTGAAAAGTAGTGCTGTTGCAGGTGTCGTATATTTCAAAATTGTTGCAAGTTGTTCTTTCTGCTTTTGTGGTAAACCAAAAGCCCAAGCTCTGTCAAAAAAGTTTGATGCAATGCTTTTACATGATTGAGTTGGCAATTTCGCATCATATATATGTAGTTAGTTAACCATTGCACTTCTTTGTTTGCAATACTAGCAACCACACTTGAGCCAGAAAATGAAAATTTTAAAATAGACATAACCACAGAGCCTTTAGACAGACAAGAGAACAAAAACCAAATCATTTGAAGAAGCGCAATAAAACTCCCTATCTCCCATGGTTTTGAACTTTTGATTAGTTTTAAATGCCTCAAAATTTTGGGTACAGATAAAGTAAAAATTGCTGATAAATCATAAGTGCTAATAATAATGATGAAAAGGCTCAGTCTCTCCCAGTGATGAATTCTTCACAATTCTTGGTAATCAAAAAGGCATAATCAGCAGAAAAGCATAATAGAAGTATTCTGGGATGGACTTTTTACAAGCTGCTGACAGGTTGACCTTGTTCCCGATAGTTTGATCTTATCATCATGTTTTAGCACCGCTTCTCCATTATCAATAAATTAAACATATATACATATAATCCAGCCAAGCATAACAAAGAAAAAAAATTATACTTCTATTATTATCAAACATGAAAGTCATATAATTGCTAGTTGACTTGGTTTTTTAATTCATAATAAATCACAACACATCCATTTATGAGCTGTATTTATCTCTCCTTCTCATTTTTTGTGGTTGTTATTTAATTTAGCAACATTTTTAAGCTAAAACGTGAGGCTGCCCACATGCTAAGATTGGGGTTCGAGCTTCAATGCTTGCAATTTTTTTTAATCTTCCTAAGCTCTGGCTTTTTTACAAAAAAAAAAAATTATTAACCTAACACATTTCCTTCTTTGGGATGACAAATTATTAATTAATTAATTTGTAAGGCTTTGCATGCAAAATTTATGGATAAGTTACAATGGGTAGCCGTACACCACATTCGGTAAAAGATAATGTTAGACTAGACAGGTTGGTTGGGTTAAAAAACAATTTTTATTGTTAAAATAATACAAATAAAATATCTTGGTGCTAATAAGTAAAAATATGATGGAAATATATAAATAAGAAAAAGTATAGGGAGAAAAGAGCAAAAACGAGAAATATCCAAATGCGATTTAAGGAGAACAATTTCAAAGGACATTGGTTTCCACAAGCTAACGAAACAGGAAACCAAAAGACTGATTATTACAAAAAAAAAAAAAAAAAAAGGTAGAGGAATAGAAGACTTCTAAAATAAAAAAGAAAAAAAAAAGATAGCATTACTGATATAACCAAGTCTCTTGTGAAACCGAGTCGAGGAAGTTCCAGATCTCGATCTCCCGAGTTTTTAGAAGCAATGGCGAAGCCGAGGTATTCGCGCCTTCCGGCTCGGAAATCGTCATCGTCAACTATGTTTCTAACCATGCTGATCATGTTCACCTTCCTGATTTTGATTCTTTTGGCGCTCGGAATCCTTTCAATTCCTAGCAGTAACTCCGGAAATTCACCTAAACCTAACGATTTGAGCTCGATTGTGCATAACGTCGTCGACAGGTGAGTTTTGTTTTTGAAATTTTTGGTTGAGTTGGATGGCGAATGGCGATCTGGTAATAACTCTGCTTGTTTTGGGTGCATTTTTGGAATTGGCAGAAGTGATGATGATGAAGGAAGAGGAGAGCACTGGGTTGAAGTCATCTCTTGGGAGCCTAGAGCTTTTATCTACCATAATTTCTTGGTCAGTTTCTCATTTTTTTTTTCTTTGGCAGAAAAAGGTTAATTTTTTTTTTCTGTTCCTCTTCATTTTTTATTTTTAACTCTAACTGAAGCATTATCGCTATTGAAATTATTTGTCAAATAAGCAATTTTTTTTTTATTTGTTGGCCTTTGATTTTTTTCTTTTAAATTTCATAGAAAAGTTTCCTGTATTCTAGTACTTTAAACTGATAATGTAATGCGAAATATTTATTAAGAAGTTTATCTCAAATATATTCTTAGTAATTAAGCGGATCCATAAAATATAAGATGATTTAATGTCATTTTTTTATAGAATCATTCACAAGAACTAAAAACAAAAGCAAGGAAAATCAGAGAAAGTTAATACTAGAATAATAAATGCATTCATGTCCTGTTGTCCAATTTTTGGAGTAGATCCTATTATGAACATGGGTTTCTTACTTGGTCCGAAATGAATTTTTAGTTAGAAAGTTTTTGTACCTGATCAAGGTCCTTGTGATATTTGGCAGTCCAAGGAGGAATGTGAATACCTGATTGATCTTGCCAAGCCTCATATGGTAAAGTCAACCGTTGTTGATAGTGAAACTGGCAAGAGTAAAGATAGTAGGTATGTACTTCTTAATGATCTTATTGCATATAGTTTTCTTTTTTATATTTGTTAACTCTTTGATTATATGTGAAACCCTGGATGTTTACATACAGGGTACGTACAAGTTCTGGAACATTTCTAGCTAGAGGACGTGATAAGATTATTAGGAACATTGAGAGAAGGATTGCAGATTTTACCTTCATACCAGTCGGTATGTCTAGTATCTGGATCAATCCAAATTTATCTGTCATTTGTTTTTCATTACTTTCACTAGTGTACTTCTTTCTTCCATATTATCATGTATTCTTCCTTAGAGTCTGCTTTAGGTCAGCTCTTGTTTTTTGTGCTATCAGTGGTTGTAAAGTTACTCATGGCAACACAATAATATGCAGAGCACGGGGAAGGACTTCAAATTCTCCACTATGAGGCTGGCCAAAAATATGAGCCTCACTATGACTACTTCATGGATGAGTTCAATACTAAAAACGGGGGCCAGCGCATAGCTACAGTCCTTATGTACCTGTAAGTGGCATTACATATTTTCACTGTGTTTTTTTATCCTAGTGCATTATGTGTAAGTTCACATTTGTTCTTTCTGTACTTTTTTTACCATTTTACAGCTCAGATGTTGAAGAAGGGGGAGAGACAGTGTTTCCTGCGGCAAAGGGGAACATTAGTGCTGTGCCTTGGTGGAATGAATTATCTGAGTGTGGAAAAGGAGGACTTTCTGTTAAACCAAGGATGGGTGATGCATTACTTTTCTGGAGCATGAAGCCTGATGCAAGTCTTGATCCTTCAAGTCTGCATGGTTAGTTCTAGTTACTATTTAGCTTGCTGCTGAGGTGTGTGGTTCAAATTTCAGCTTTATCAAACAGGGACCCTTTAATTTTTGAGCATCATGACTCATTTCCCTTGAATGTCTAGTTGCATTACTTAATTTATCACAAGTTAATATCTTCCTACTTTCTGTTCATTTCTTTTCTAGGATCATTTATAATTTACTGTTTTTAATTATCCAGGAGGCTGCCCTGTGATTAGAGGAAATAAGTGGTCGTCTACGAAATGGATGCGAGTCAATGAGTACAAGGTTTAAGCAAACATTATAAAGGTAACTTTTTCTATGTAGTATTTGATAGTTTTCAGAATCATTGACTTATCTATGGTTCCTATGGTTCTGTATCTAGACCCGTTAAATTAAGCTGATGATGATGAATATTAATTTATACCATATGCAATGTTGGTTTACATCTTCAAAAGAGCATCACTTAGCGTAAACTAAAAGTTCATGGAAAGGTCAAATTTAAGTGATTTTTTGAAATGAATAAGAGATGGCCTGTTGCAACGGATCGCTGAAAGCTACTCATTATTCACTTTTAATGATTTGAATTCTTTCTTCTTTTTTGAGAGTCAGGGAACAGAAGAACCTCAAAACCCCTTTCCTGCTTTTTCCCCGATCTGCATTGTTCTAGCATTGCTTTCTTCAGAGAATTCATACTAGCATTGTTCTTAACATTGTCTTTTTATCTTACATTGCTTTTTTTGTTCTTAGATGACAGGATTGAGTTGGATTTCTTATTTCCGTACTGTACTTTTGGAAAGTTAAAGTGAGAACTCTGCAGCCATTGTGCTTCAAGTATGGTATACTGCCTGGTACCTTCCTCCTATCTTTTTTCGTGTAGTGCTCTCTCCTGCTGACTTGGGCTCATGCTTCAATCTTGTTTCTTCTTTTTTTTCTTTTTTTTCTTTTTTTTTAATTTTCATTTCTTTGGTTCCACTTTTACCTCAGACAAGAGCCTTTATATTTTACTACCACTAATAATAGAATAAAGCCGGATTTTTCGCTTGCATGCGAAGTGAAATTCCCAGCACAGATGAAATTATATTTATCAAGAATGACAAGTTATTTATTTGACGTCTTTAGAGTCTTTTTAAATTGTTCTCTGCCCACCATGCTTAACTTTTATTTCTTGCAAATCAATGTTAACAAATGTAATCGTATCCTCATTAACCCTAAAATTGTTATTTTATAATAAAATTGAAATGTTGAGACGTTTAATAGTTTTATATGTTAAGTATCCATTGGCTGGATTTTACCTTACTGAACTATAAAAAACAAAAAATCAACTTTAGTAAAATAAAATAAATGTTATTTTATAATGTAAAAGATAAAATAAATGTTAAAGTAAATAAAAAATTGTTATTTTATAAAGTAAAAGATTGGAGCTGATCAAACTTGTACTTAAAAATCTAAATGTGTTAACCCAATCCAAAATGGACTGGGCATGTAGGCTTGGGGTAGTAGCTAACGATAAGATTCACGCGGACTCCCCAACCCCGACCGAAACCGAGTGACAATTTACCTCGGGAAATCATCAATTCAATCATGAATTCGATAATGACACATTACGATGAACCCCCGGGGCGGGGGGGGGGGGGGGGGGGGGAGGAAGAGGGAATGCAGTTGGTGAGAAAAAAAAAGTTAAAAAATAAAATAAAATCGTAGTATTTGATATGATTTAAATTATTTTTAAAATTAAAAAAATAAAAAATTAATTTGAAATTTTAGAATTTGATTTTGTATGGATATTTTTTTTATTCGAATCAAATTTTAATATTAAATATATATATATTAAATTTTAATCAAATTTTAAATTAAAAAATAAATCACGAGAAAAATAGATGGTGAGAAAAAATTGAAAAAATAAAAAAATTAATTCAAAATTATAGTATTTGATTTGGTTTAGAGTAGTTTTAAAATTGAAAAAATAAAAAAAATTGATTCGAAATTTTAGTATTCGATTTAGTTTTGATCAGTTTTTTTTTATTCAATTCGAATCAAATTCGAATATTAAATATATATATTAAATATTTCGAATCAAATTCAAATATTAAATATATATATATATATATATTAAATTCAGATCGAATTTTAAATCGAAAGATAAAAATTTTAAAAAAATTTGAATCACGGGAAATTAAGGTGGTGAGAAAAAAATTGAAAAAAAAAAGATTCAAAATCGTAGCATTTGATTTAATTTAAATAATTTTTAAAAATAAAAAATAAAAAATTGATTTGAAATTTTAGAATTCGATTTAGTATGGATAAATTTTTTCTTATTTGATTCGGATCAAATTTGAATATTAAATATATATATATATATATATTAGATTTAGATTGAATTTTGAATCGAAAGGTAAAAAATCTAAAAAAATATAAAAAAAAACAAATCACGAGGAAAACAGATCGTAAGAAAATTTTGAAAAAATAAAAAAATTGATTTGAAATTTTAGTATTCGATTTAATTTTGATCAATTTTTTTCTTATTCAATTTGAATCAAATTCAAATATTAAATATATATATATATATTAAATTCATATCGAATTTTAAATCGAAAGATAAAAAATAAAAAAAAAATCGAATCGTGGGGAATACAAGTAGTGAGAAAAAAAGTTGAAAAAAAAAAGATTCAAAATCGTAGTATTTGATTTGATTTAAATTATTTTTTAAAATTGAAAAATAAAAATTTGATTTGAAATTTTAGTATTTGATTTAGTTTGGATTAATTTTTTTCTCATTTGATTCGGATTAAATTCGAATATTAAATATATATATATATATATATTAGATTCAGATCGAATTTTGAATCAAAAGATAAAAAATTTTAAAAAAATAAAAAAAAACAAATCACGAGGAAAATAGATGGTGAGAAAATTTTGAAAAAATAAAAAAATTAATTCAAAATTATAGTATTTGATTTGGTTTGGATCAATTTTAATATTGAAAAAATAAAAAATTGATTCAAAATTTTAGTATTTAGTTTAATTTTGATCAGTTTTTTTATTATTCAATTCGAATCAAATTCGAATGTTAAATATATATATATATATATATTAAATTCAGATTGAATTTTGAATCGAAAGGTAAAAAATTAAAAAAAATCAAATCGTGGGGAATATAAGTGGTGAGAAAAAGTGAAAAAAAAATCAAAATTGTAGTATTTGATTTGATTTAAATTATTTTTGAAATTAAAAAAAATTGATTTGAAATTTTAGTATTCGATTTAGTTTGGATCAATTTTTTTCTTATTCGATTCGGTCAAATTTGAATATTAAATATATATATTAGATTCGGATCGAATTTTGAATAGAAAGATAAAAAATCTAAAAATAGTAAAAAAAAAACAAATTACGAGGAAAATAGATAATGAGAAAAAATAAAAAAATTAATTCAAAATTATAGTATTTGATTTAGTTTGGATCAGTTTTAAAATTGAAAAAATAAAAAATTGATTTGAAATTTTAGTATTCGGTATAGTTTTGATCAATTTTTTTCTTATTCAATTTGAATTAAATTCAAATATTAAATAAATATATATTAAATTCAAATCGAATTTTAAATCGAAAGATAAAAAATTAAAAAAAATCGAATCGCAGGGAATACATGTGGTGAGAAAAAAAGTTGAAAAAAAAATTCAAAATTGTAATATTTGATTTGATTTAAATTATTTTTAAAATCGAAAAATAAAAATTTGATTTGAAATTTTGGCATTCAATTTAGTTTGGATTAATTTTTTTCTCATTTGATTCAGATCAAATTCGAATATTAAATATATATATTAGATTCAGATCGGATTTTAAATCGAAAGATAAAAAATCTAAAAAAAAATAAAAAAAACAAATCACGAGGAAAACAGATGGTGAGAAAAAATTGAAAAAATAAAAAAAATTAATTCAAAATTATAGTATTTGATATGGTTTGGATCAATTTTAATATTGAAAAAATAAAAAATTGATTCGAAATTTTAGTATTCAATTTAGTTTTGATCAATTTTTTTCTTATTCAATTTGAATCAAATTTGAATATTAAAAAAAAATATATATATTAATTCAGATCGGATTTTGAATCTAAAGGTAAAAATTAAAAAAAAAAAATTAAATCGTGGGGAATATAGGTGGTGCGAAAAAAATTGAAAAAAAAATTCAAAATCGTAATATTTGACTTGATTTAAACTATTTTGAAAATTAAAAAAATAAAAATTTGATTTGAAATTTTAGTATTCAATTTAGTTTGGACAAAATTTTTTTTATTTGATTCGGATTAAATTTGAATATTAAATATATATATTAGAGTCGAATAAAAGTTTGAATTGAAAGATAAAAAATCTAAAAAAAGTAAAGGAAAAAAAAATTACGAGGAAAATAGGTATTGAGAAAAAATTGAAAAAAAAAATTAATTCAAAATTATAGTATTTGATTGGGTTTGGATCAGTTTTAAAATTGAAAAAAATAAAAAATTAATTTGAAATTATAGTGTTGGATTTAGTTTTGATCAGTTTTTTTCTTATTCAATTCAAATCAATTTTGAATATTAAATATATATATATATATATATATATTAAATTCAGATCAAATTTTGAATTAAAAGATAAAAAATTAAAAAAATCAAATTGTGGGGAATACAAGTAGTGAGAAAAATTTTGAAAAAAATAAAAAATTGATTCAAAATTATAATATTTGATTTGGTTTGGATCATTTTTAAAATTAAAAAATAAAAATTTGATTCAAAGCTTTAGTATTTGGTTTAGTTTGGATCAATTTTTTTTTATTCAATTCACATTTTAAATATATATAGTAGATTTGAATCGAATTTTGAATCGTAAGATAAAAAATAAAAAAAATTGAATCACAAGTGGTGAGAAAAAATTGAAAAAAAATAAAAAATTGATTTAAAATCATAATATTTGATTTAATTTAAATCAATTTTAAAATAAAAAAATAAAAAATTGATTCAAAATTTTAGTATTTGGTTTAGTTTAAATCAATTTTTTTATTCGATTAAAATCAAATTTAAATATTATATATATATATATATATTAGATTTGAATTGAATTTTGAATTAAAAGATAAAAAATAAAAAAAATTGAATAGAATAAAATTATATATATTTATTTTTTATATATATATTTTAAATTTTTATAAAATAAAAATAATAATTTTATACCAAAATTTATTTAAATATATTAAAATTTTGTATTAAAATAATATATAAAAATTAAATTTTAAAAATTAATAAATTCAGTAAAATTAAATTGATAAAATTTAATTCCGACTTGAATAAAAATTTGTTATAAATTTAAATTAAATTTTAAAATATCATAATATTATATAATATTTAAAAAATCAAATCAACTCGATTGGATTCCAATCTTTAACTTTCGGGCAATAGAGTCTCTCTAATTGACGATAGCTTGGAAGTATTAATTATGATGTTCCAAAAATTAGAAGGATGATCAATTTTCTTTTCCACAATGATGCTAGATTGGTTAAAATAGAGTGGCCAAAGTGAGCCCGCCGAGGAGTTGGAAGCAGCGAAAGCTAATACGAATTAGTATAGAAAGACTCTTTTTCTTGTAGTCTCGAAAGACAAAACCACAACCATTTCCCACCTTACACATTCTGCCAAAGTCCAAGAAAGAAAATGGGCTTCTATTTCATTCTATCAAAGATACTGAAATACACGAGAAAAAAAAATGAAGCTTTTATTTCATTACCGTGGGCACGCCCTGGGCTTGGGTTTAGGTTGACACCTTTTATGCTTTAGTTTAGACCATATAAAAAGAATACAGCTCTATACAAAGACACAGTGTCATGTTAAAAGAAAAAATAAAAGTTATTAGGATTTAAGAACTTACAATGACATCTTAGGCAGATCGATCTCTACAACTGTTTGTAGCAAATTAAAAGAAGCAAGAGATTAAGAGGTAAACAGCCAAGCAAGAGAGTAAGAGCGAGGCAAAAATGCAAGAGACTGAGGGAGAGCAAACTGCAAAGAGCAAAGGCACGGTAAGATGCAATAGATTCAGATTGAGAGGAGCAAAGAACAGAAAGGGAAAACGACGAGGGTGGGTGAATTAAGAAAAGTAAGTTAAATTTAAAGTTTTTTTTAAGAAAATTTACATATTTACCCTTAATTATTATAAAAGCGATTAATTCAGTTATCAATTTTAAAAACCGATAACCGATCGATTTCACTAATTTAACCGATCTTAAAATTGATTACAACCGAAAACCGATTAAACCGAACTGAAATGACCATATATCATAATTTCAATCGATTAAATCGGTTTGAACTGATTTATGCTCACCTCTAGATGTAGGACTGTAACCAGGAGAGGTAGGACTGTAACCGGGAGATGAAGGACTATATCCAGGAGATGATGGGCTGTAACCAGGAGATGAAGGACTATATCCAGGAGATGATGGGCTGTAACCAGGGGATGACGCAGGAGAGAATGCCATCCCGCCAACATAAGGTGAGAACTGAGAATCTGTAATGGGTGAGAGACCGAGATTTGGGCTCAGCAAGTAACTTGGAGACATCATGCCTTCATGATAAGGAGTTCCTGACACTGGAGAACGAGCAGGTGTCATGCCAAATTCCAGTCCTTCCATGTAACTAGGTAGCTGAAGTTCAATGGCGTTCTTCAACATCTCATCATTGAGATACAAGGCACAGTCTCCTGTACCAATTGGTGCAAGCTGACCCAACATTATATTCTCTGTCACACCCCTTAAATAATCTGACTCAGAATAAACAGCTGCATCAAGGAGAATATCTACAGTTTCTTCAAATGAGCACCTCATCATAGGCCCTGTATCATTGCGGTTGATGCCATGACGGGTGATGGCCATCAAGTGGCCACGATACGTCATTGTATCACAGAGGATAGCTAGATGCCGATAATTCACATAAGACCCATCAAATGATATCACAACCCGCAATTCATCCAACAAGGACCGACGAACTGCTTCGATTCCAAGAACTTCAATCACTTCAATCAAGTGATTGCTTGTTGTTCTCCTCGCATCAACATCTTCATGGCACATTACAGCCAAGAGATTGACACCTTCTGTATCCAGCACCCACTCCTCTCTGGTCTTATATCCATCAGCCTCATCAAATTTGCTTGCTTTACTATGTTTAATGAACACCTTGTTGATGTCTGGGATACCTCGAAGTGCCATTTCTGTCAGCATGTTACTCTCAATCTTCTTCAAGAATACATCATCTTCAGCAGACTCATCATTCAATTCACCCTTTGGGGCTTCATCATTCATGATGCGGATACGTAGGATCAACTTCTCTGCA